TCTCAGGAACCAGTGCCTGACCAGATGGAGCCTATGGTACCCAGAAGAGAAGTAATTGCCTCAGATGGAAACACTTGAAAAGGAGGCTAGGATTTTACGGCTACCAAACTCAGACCTACAGATTCTCAGGGACAGTGAAGAATAAAGTCTCCCCCCAAAATAGCAATTTTTAGAATAGACTTCAGCAGGAAAAAGTTAAATCTCCTTTACCTGGGGAATCTGGAATTAACAGTATGATAAGTATTAATATCGTAGAGAAATTTTATAGGAATATGCTGAAAAGGCAACTTTATATGAAAAATACTGGACTGGGAGTCAGAAGACCTTAGCAGTAATCTTTGCCTGGGCACTTAGACGGTACAAGCCCTGCAAAAGCTATTTAACCTACTTGGGCTTCAGATCTTTAATGATACCTAGCACGCTATTTCCCAGAGCTACTGTAAAAATTGAATTAAATAAAAAGAATGTGAACGAGGGCCAGAGAGATGGCTCAGCATGTAAATGCTTGCCACACAAGGCTGGAGACCTAAGTCCTACTCCCAGAACCCACACAGATGGAAAGACAGAGTTGACTCCACAAAGATGTCCTTGGGCCTCCACATGTGCACCATGGCATGTGTGCACCATCTCCCCCACAAATTATGCACACACACATATACTAATAATATAAATAAATAAATAAATAAATAAAATAAATAATTTTAAGGATGGAAAATTAATTTCATAAACTAAAAGAATTCAGTATAAATATAAAATATTATTAGCATTTTCACAGTGCCAGCTTGCAATAAACAAGAATAATTTGAATGCTAAATTAGGCATTCAAAGTATATATACAATTCTTTCCATCTTTATCCTGGGAGGTGGACATTTACACGATAAAGTCAACTCGAAATTATACAGAGTTGATTAGTAAGAGGCTATTAGTTTCTGGCCATTGTGCCCTTTATTAGTTCCCCTCAAGAACATAAGTTAAAAACAATTTCAATGCACATTAAAATTTATTTTTAAAAAATTTAAAAAGGGCCTACAGAGATGGCTCAGTAGATAAAGTGCTTGCTATGCAAGCATGAAGACCTGAGTTTGAATCTTCAGCAGCCATACAAAAGCTGGACATCTTGGTGTGCACCTGTAACCCCAGAGCTGGGGAGTAGGGTGGGAAGAGCAGGTGGATCCCCAGAGCTTGCCAGCCAGTCTAGCTAGTCAGTGAACACCAGATTTAGTGAGAGACTCTGTCTCAAAAAAATAAGGTGAAGAGCAATTGAGGAAGACACCCAACATTGATTTCTGGCCTCCACATACACAAGCACATGTGTACATACTGCACATACATGTATACACCACACATACACATACAGATAAACAAAAATGCACATTAACCATAAGGTATGATGGCTCATGCCTATAATCTCAGCACTCAGAGGTGGAGACAAGATCACCCTGGGTTCAAAGCTTGCTTGGGCTACAAAGTAAGAACCTGCTTCAAAAAAATAAATTAATAATTAAAAAATAAATAGCAGCAGCTAAAGAAGAATGTACATTAATCTACATAAAGCTAGAAAACCAGCTAATCAGGGAATGTATCTCAACTTGATTACTTTGAATAACAACTCCAGTAAAGTTTTGACAAAGGAGGCCTTGACATGATTAATGGAATAGAAGCTTTTGGATAATGTGAGGACTTGACATCCACAGATAACACATCAACAGAATCTTCACTCTACTCTCAAGGAAGCTGTGATCAAGGTCAGACAGTTTGCGACTAATCTAGACAAAATACCTTTATCTTTTTTTCAATGAGCAACAAAATACTAGCATTTTTTTAAATGAACAAGAAAGCAGAGAAATTTCTCTAAACTACTCTAATTAGTAGTTACTAGTTTACTACTACTAATTAGTAGTTTAGGACAGGCATAGTGGCACACAGCTCAGGGCCAGCACTGTCAAGGCAGAGGCAGGCCAATCTTCATTCAAGGTCAGCCTGGTGTACATAGTGAGACCCTGTTCCAAAATAACAATCACAACAACAATAATTTTTTTTCAGTGAACTACTTGTGTAACATGTGCAATTAGATTTGAACATGTGGCCTGGTGAGATAGCTCATCTATAGAGGTGCTTGTATGCAGGCCTGACAACAAGAAGGAACTGACTCCCAAAAGTTGTCCTCTGACCTCCACACATGTCATGCCTACACACACACACACACACACACACACACACACACACACACACACACACAAGTTTTTTTTACTATTTCGATACCATTTATTCAACAAGTATGTACTGAGCTATCAGAGTCAATATTTAACTGAAAAATCACTGTTTTCCTGCCCTTGCTGAGGGCCACTGCTTATGATATCACACAGGACACCTTGCCTTGGCCACAGTCTGACTCTGAAGCCCTTTTTGCCTTCCCGCTATCTTAAGAATTGGCTGATCTACCAAGCACAAGCTTCAGGAAATTGTGGTCCTTGGGCAAAGCCCTGCCCACCATCTTTTTTTTTTTTTTTTTTAATACAGCCACAGTCATAGGTTTGTACATTATCCAAGGATGCCTTCCTACAGAGTTCTGCAGCTGTGATAGAGAAAGTAAGGCCCACAAAGCCTAGAATACTATCTGGCCCCTCCCAGGAAAGGTTTACTAACTCTTGATCTAGTTTACTAAATCAAAATTCATCTCTCTGGTAAGTTTCTGCTGAGAACCTAATAGAATAAACTCCTAGAAAACAAAGAGCTTTCCTGTATCTTGTTATAACCTTGAGGTAGATGGGGTCAAGGTTTAGAGTAGATACAGAAAATTAAAGCTGTTCTCTATATTTTGTTTTCCATAGACGAGTGCCATGGAGATTCACAGAAGACAGCATAAAACCACTGGTGTTTGGTTACCCTGGCTTCTAATTCCTCAGAGTTCCTTCAGTGAAGACTTCCAAGGCTCAATTTTTGGCCTCTATCCTTTGCATATTTATTTCCCGATCGGATGGAATTAGAGTTAAATAGGAGCTGTGTGCTTGAATTCCACGTGGCTGGCTCAGCAGGAAACTCCAGGGCCGGTTTTTTCCTGTTAGCCTCAGCTATGCTAATTTCTAAAGCTGTTTGCTTTGCTCAAATAAATCTTAGAGACGAATTTGCATTTGGATGCACACCTTTTTATGCACAAATTATGCAGAATTAGGACTGAAAAACTGAAAAAGAGATTTGGTGTTTGCTACCTGACTTTCCTGTGATAGATACTATGCCAGGTGCTAAGCATTCATTTTCTCATCTCTGCAGCATCCCCATGAGGTAAAACCGTGAGCCCCATTCTACAGATGGGAAAACCTAAAGAAGCAGAGCTGGAACTTACCCACGTTCATGGAGCTGGTAAGTGACAAAGCCAAGAGTTAAACTCAGATTTTCTAAGATATTCTGAATCTGAAGTCAGTGTTCTTGTTACTTGGTCATACCAACAACTTACTAACACCCCCATCCTTACCAGTCCTCACCTAAACCTCAGATTCAACTGGGAGCACCACCATATTTACAAAATTAGTTACATTTTTTTTTTTACCAATTGGCCTATGCAAAATGTGTTTTTAATTCTTGGGAGATAAATTTGGGTCCCTCTGTATCATAAAACAACCAACCAAAGGAAAATAGGGTCACTAATAAGGCAAACTTTATATGATACATCAATTATGTTAGTAATTAGTACTAAAAGTGATTTTAATGACAAATGAATTTTAATGACATTAAAAACCTTCATATGATAGAACAGTTTTATTGTTAAAATGTAACAGGGCAACAGGGGAATATGGCCATAACCATGATGGAAAACAGGGTAACAGGTAATCCATGTGTACCATACACTGAGGAACTTAAACCTGCAAATTTCATCACTGCTTAAGGAAACATAATCAAACACTTATCCTCACAAATATAAACACAAGCATTAGTGCTAGTATGTTTCAATAAATACTGCTATTATCACTCAATATTTGTCACTGTTCAATTCAGTATGCACAAAAATAACCAGTAACAAGAACTAAGCATTCTAGCATAATTCCAACATTTTAAACAGGCCAGATACAGTGTTACTTCTCTTTCTATGAAACATATCTGCAACCTAGCTTGAAATATCAAAACGCTCAGCTCTCTGCCATTGAGACAATGCACTGCCATCTAATTTTCTGGAAATATAAAAGAACTGATTATATTTTCATGCAAGTGAAATTCAGTTTTCCATCTTTTTTAAGCTCTCAAAGACAGTTTCCAGGAATGAAAAAGAAGTCTGTGGAGATGATATATAACATAACTTGTTCTTGAATGAATTTAGAGAAGGCATGTTGAAGAACATGCCTGCCATATGTCTTCTTTTACAAAATTACCCCTTTCTTCAGAAACTCCAGGAGACCTGGTTCTCCCTGTACACCACCCAGTTCAAATAGCTACTTTTTTTGTGTACATTTTATTTCAAAAAACTACTTCATTGGGACTGGAGAGATGTCTCAGCGGTTAAGAGCACTGATTGCTCTTGCAGAAGACCCAGGTTCAGTTCCCAGCACCCACATAGCCACTAACAACCATCCATAACTCCAGATCCAGGGGACTCCAACCTCCTCTTCTGACCTCCTCAGGCATTGCACGACACAGGTGCACTTACAAACATGCAGGCAATACAGTCATACACATAAAATAAAAATAATAAATAAAGTATTTTTAAAAACTACTTAATCCTTAAAAACAAAGCAGGTGACTTCAGAGAAGGAAAGTAACTTTTCCTGGGGCTGTTGGTAGAAAAGATTTATAGTCAATTGAATGAATGTTTGCTGCCTAAGCACAAATAGATAGGGGAATTTTCCTAATAGCAATAATACTTGAAATAATGTATGCACTAACATTTCTCATCTTCAATGTTCCTCAAATAGTCTTTAAGTTAATTTGAGTTTTTAACAATTAGTCATAAGACAGTGAAAACAACTGTCTGCAAATTGTTATGGTTGGAAATCCCAATGGTGCTTACCTGCTGGTGGCTTTATGAAAGGTGGCGGAATTAAAGGTACAATAATGGGCACATTGCCATGGTCCTTTGACCCTGCAGGTGAGTCACTGAGTCCATTTCCAGTGGCAAGCCCTGAATAGCCTGTGCTTATATTGTATGGTGAAATAACACTGTCCTCAGATAATTTTGGTTTTGGCAAAGAATTTTCTGTAAGAGAAAAAAAAATCATATTCAATATGACAAAAGAACTTATTCAGTACACTTAAGATTTTCCATATTTCTTCAAGTACAATGATCATGTAACAGAATAAATTTTTCCTTTCAAACCTTTAAGCAATTCACCAGAACGTCATAGTCCATCCTGGAGCTTTTTAGTCTTGTTAACAACAATTTCCAATTGGTTCCTTTATAATTTTCTCCACTATGATAGTTAATATCCCAGTTGAATCATGATGATGAATTTTAGCACTGTAAAATCTCATAGAAAATTGAGAAGCAATTAACCTTTTCCATGTACAAAGTGATATATATCAGGCATCACTCTCTGGTTACAGGAGGAGAGCCTAAAACACGCACCCCAGCATGGTAACTATGTCCAACTGTCTTACAAATTTAAGTCATGATATAATCAAATGAATCAATAAGAAAGAAGTAGATGATTTAGAAGAAAACTAGTATTTCTCCGGGTATTGATAATACTCATGTAAATACAGAACTCATAGAAAATTCTCAAAAATTTTTTAATTAAACAAACACACACACACACACACACACACACACAGTCTCAACCATGAAAAACATGGTACCCTCTCTTTACATGTTCCCTAGAGGCAAAGATTGTTACCTAGACCAAGTATTAAGAAGCTATTAGTTTATGGAATATAAGCTCTTGACTTGCATTTTTCATTTACAGTGAAATTGATGATACTATCTTCATAATGTGATGTGTACAATTTCATAGAAGGCTTAACATAAAATTTGTCATGTACATTCAATTCCACAGCCTGCAGGACAACTCATTTACATTTCATTGCTTGACATATAAGAAGAAAAAGCTCTTTTTTAAAGACTGAAAATAAAATACTTGAACAGGTACTACACTAATAGATTTTGAAGCAACACAAAACTGATCCAACAGCTAATGATGATACACAGTTAGTTGTACCCACATTTTACTAAAATTCCTTAAATGGGTTGTTTGACATTTTTCTCTTATAAACAGGCTTTCATTCCAAATTTAGGTTTACAAATTCCGTAGTCATTTCACCTCCCCCCTTAGGTTCTGTGTACTGCTGTCCACTTGTAGAATCAGTATAAATTCTGCTATGCCATTCCTCTGTTGTTTCTACTCTCTAGTCAGACTCTGGTAAGAATTCTTATTGTCTACCATTGTTCTCCTCTGTTCAGAGTGTGGAGGCAGAGAAGGGTGAAAACTTGAAACACAAAATGAAAATAAGGTTCCCTTTTAAAATTCCCGTTCAAAAATAAGGAAGGAGGGTTACCAAAATAACAGGGAATCTCTCCCGGTAGCATAATGTACACGCCTAACATTGTGCTAAACAGACAGTCCCAGTCCCCAACACCTATGATCAAAGGAATAAAGAAATTTAAAGTCAGCAAACATTGTTTCTGTGAACTCATGGGCAGGACCACAGCACCGAAGGTCCTAAGCCCTTGCCTGATTCTCCACCACTGCAATGAGATGAAGCCATGTCTATTTTTGTTTTGTGTTGAGCTCTGATATTCTGTGGAATTCTGCTTATGGAAAAGCACAACTGAAAATACATTTAAACCAAAGCTTCTTGAACTTTTTCCACTTGCAACTTTTTCACCCAAGAAGTTTTTATAGAATGCTAGGTGTATAGGTATATAAAATATGTATTGGATTCAAACATTTACTGATAACAAATCATAAAGAAATTGTTTAAAAACAATTATTTAATATACATATAATTTGCCAGTTACTAAAAATAAAAGCAAATTTGTACACTAATGAAATGGATGTGCTTGTGTAATTTTACACAGAAAGTTAAATCTTGGCTGAATATCAGATATAGCAAGATATAGAACATTTTCAACATTTTTCAGTGTTGATATAGATTTTGGTTTATAATCAGTGATGTGAATGCCACTTTGCACAGATGGATAGTATAAAATTGCAGAAGTATGCTTAGGGCCATTTTAGAAATTATTGGAAATTTTGTACTAATCACAATCCAAAATTCATTTAATGATTTTTTTGTAATGCAATTCAAGTCAGCAATTCAAACAGCAATTTAAGAAACCGAACATCCTAACTCAGTAGAATCCCAAAATACACTAATTTGACAGTAGAAAAATATCACTGTAATTCATTATTTTTCTATAAGAGCAGAAAACTTTGTATGTACAGTAAAAACACTACATTTCATAACATACGATAGACTTGAATCTGAGCTGAGGTGTTTCATGCATCATTTGTTGTGTGGCATGATAGCATATACAGTATAAAGGGCTCATTTGTGTGTTCAGAACCAAGGCTACAGTGAAATTGCATGATGCAGCACAGGCAAGCACTGCCAGGAACAATCCAGATTCCTTACACATTTGATTTGCAATTAAGTTTCAGTCACCCCATGTTCAGAAACAATTTACTCTTGTCAAAATTTCCACACACACCCACATTTAGTAACTTGACCCCATAGTGTTACAACCTGCATTTTAAGAAGCTGGGATTTAAACTAATCATGGGCATAATCAACGAAATGAGTCCCACAGTATCTCAATTCTGGCAGGTAGAGACCGTTAATTCTTCTTTCCATGAACAAAGGGACATTAAACATCATTCATTACCTTTGAGAACAGAAATGTGCTGCCGGCTCTCCCCATCAGGAGGGTAGCTCCTGAATTCAATATCTTCACCATCTTTTAACTCAACTTTATCATAGCCATACCAGCCAAGGAGTTCATTCATGGTGTTTTCTGCAAAGTTCTGAAAGAGAAGCATAAGCCACTACTTATTTCTGTAATCAATAATTATTTGAAAAGAATGCACAAATTAAATTCTGTTAGCCATATCCTGCTTCATGTTAGCCCTGCCCCCACTTCCCCTACATGAATGCTCATTTTTCAATCATGTTCAAGAGTTGTAATGCATTTAAATCACAGAGTGACTCATCTAATATGACGGACCTTCAGACATTTGCAATTTAAAGATAATAAGGAAAAAGTATTGTCAGTTTTGCCTACGAATAGGAAGTCTTACTTTAGCATATTTTTCTGCCAAGTCTATATTCCACATTAATATGAAAGTATTGAATAAAAGCATGAAAAAGGATAGCTACAGAAAAATTTGAAGATTGCAATACCTTTTTTGTAGTTCCAATTAATTTAAATCAGAATTACTTTCTAGTTCGGGTGTTGCTGCTACTTAACATGCCTCTTATTTCAAATAAAACAAATTTCAACAAAGTAATCATTTCTTAATTGTCAACTACTATTATACAAAAATCTGAATAGATTTCAATGTTCTCTCTTGACAATTTTCCCCCGTGCAAAAGAATTTGTTAAATCAATGCATAATTTGTTTTACAAATTTTATTAGTGATAGATTCATTCCCCATGAAATTAAAGGTCACTGTGTCTTCTGATACATCAGTGATGTAAAAGTACTGAAAAACTTCAAGTCAGCCAGACTTTGGATAAAATTACTTTATGAACTATAAGTTAATGTGTAAATGTAAAATGTTATTACTATTATTACAGATATCAAAGTTTGAAAATAATGAGTATGGCTGGACAGATTTAATACTTTATTTGTTTAATACTATATTGTCAAGTGATTATTTCTATCAGTTTATCAATTGCTAGACCCAGAAACAAGATATAAACCTTTATGTACTCAAACACAGGGAGGGTACACAGCCTTCTAGGCTGAACTAGGAAAACTAGAGAGCCCAGCCTTCTCTATATCTCAGAGAATCTTTTGTCCTAGAAGCTGTCATTTCTGAATTACACTGGGATGTCTGATTTATATACCTGAAATGAAGCACCAAGGCTGAGCCAGGGTGTGCACGGCCTCAACATGTGACTTCCACGTTTTCTGGAATACTATGACTTTATATCTCAGCAGGGTTCCATAAAAGATATTACACTACTGATTCCACAGAAATAAACCTGGCATTTCAAACCACCCACAGAACGCTACATTTTTTGCTTTAGTACCCACTTAAGTTCAGAGCTCCAACTGGGTCAATCTGTGATGGTTTAGTGCACTAACAATTAAAAAAAAAAAGCAACAAAAAACTAGCCAGATTGATTATCACTATTCACAAAGCCAACAGCCAACCATATCAAGCATTAGTGAAGTATTTATTCTTTCCAGTGGCAGGTTGTGTCCACAGTAAATAGACATTCTTTTTATGAATGTGCAAAAATGATATGCTCAACATGAATAATGAGCTCAGCATCTTTAGGAATACCACTGAGGAGGACTGGGCTAAATGTTGCACAACTCAATCAAAAGAGATCCCTTTAATGAGGTGCCACTCTCCCCTAATACCTAATTCTTTTACTGAGAACTGTCCCAAATCATGATTGACAGTCTCCAAGCACACAAATGGAGACCCTTCATCTGTGATCTAGCAGCAGAAATCTCCAAAGATGGAAACTTGCCTTGCCTCAAAAAACCAATTCCTAACAGTATTTAAAAACCAAGTTCAAGCCATGCTATTGGTCTATATGCTGCTTGCCCAGTCTCCAAAAGAACCGTGCCAATGAGACAGATAATCTTTTGCATAGCAACTCCTGGCTACAACATCTGGTTTCATACACCATCCTTATCCAGGCCACTTCTGCCAGCCCATCTACCCTCTGAAGTCAGACAAAGGCTACAGATGCATAATTCATGTATCAATCTCCCAGCTGAAGATATAGATTTGTTTGTTTTAATTCAGCTGCAAACCCATTCATCCTTTCAGAACCAATTGGAGGGATGGATCCAGGCTTTTCAGACATTTGGATAAAAACTGAAACTTTAACTGGATTATTAAAACCAAAGTCATATCATCTGGGCATTTTAACTGCACCAGTTTTGTTTATGGTTTCTGCTGAAAACCCAGAAGCTACATGGAACAATCAATATGAATTTGATCTATTCCATGATTTCTGAGTTACTATAAATGACAGGGAAACTAGACTGAAAAATGTTCCCATTCTTGTCACTGAAAATAAAAATAAATACCTTAATGTTTTGATATTGTGAATGCAAAAGCAGAAAACAAAGGCTTATAAAGACTCAAGTCAAGCCTTAAGCTTTTCGGGAAGGAATAATAAGATGAAAAAAAAGCATATAGTTAAAAGAGACTATAATCATTGCCATCATAGTAAACCTAAATTCCCCAAGGAATAAATCACTTAATAGTTTAAGCTTCTAAATAGCATATGGACCCATTATGTTGCTAAACCAAAATAAATGAAATAGATTTTTACTATTATCATCTAAGACATAGAATATTCTAAGTGATGTTAATTTAATGTTTATAGCCTAGAAATGTTTTCAAGCTTTTTTGGTAGAGAATTCCAATTGTTATTTCAGCATTTTATATTAACAGCCTTTATAAAATAGTTTTCAATTTAAAAGTTAATCCTTTCTTAAATTTCTTGTTTGTTTGTTTGTTTGTTTGTTTCTTAAAAGGTGGGCAAAGGTGATAAATTAAAATCCCAGCCCTCAGGAGGCAGAGGCAGGCAGATCTCTGAGTCCAAGTCCAGTTTGGTCTATCTGTGACTACAGGGAGATCCTGTCTCAAAAAAACAAACAAACAAAAAATTCAGAATGACTTAAAAGGAGTGATTCTCACTAACAAAAGATACCACTGTACTAAGGGGGATTGTGAAATTTGCTTTCCCCACAATCTTCAAGCAACAGTTCTCCTGACAAGCTAATGCAGGAAACCAAAGCAAAATCTCTTAAAAGTTCCCAGGTTTAAAATTATATGAAATCAAAGAACATACACTTATGTGAAAAAATAAAGTGTCCTTTGCAAAGAAATCTGAAAATGATAGTGATCGCACATCGTCAATTGTACTGAAGAAGTCATTATTTCAAATAGTTTATCATTGCTCCCACTAACCATTAAAGTGTGCCAGAAATTGAAATATTCTGGCATCTGAATTCTATTTTGCAGACTGCTTCTTGCCTTTGGAAGTAACACAAAAATCCTCTCTCATACCATGTGGTCCAATTTCGGTTTGGAAAATAGGTCACTAAAATTATAATGTTAATGTCTAACACTCTTATAGCACTTTGCAGTGTTTCCACATCCTTTAATTCTCTTATTTCTTTCAATATCCCTGTGTGCTAGGTGTTTAGTTTCCACAATAAACTTTTGGTGAACTGAAGTGAGATCCTCATGAGACAACAGAAAATCAGCACATCGAAAAGGCAAAAGGCAGGTGTGACAGATCATCCAGGAAAGTCAAAACCAAAGCATAGACCTTCCGATTCTTATATTGGGCTTCATTATATCATAAATTCTGCACCAAGAGGTCAACAATTCCAAAGATTTTACTTCCTAGACTAATCAGGGACTTGCAAAGAAATCATACCAACCGGATGTCAATTTCATTCATCAGGAAGTTTCCAACCAAAATACATCTACCTCTTTTGAAATCTGGCTCATGTTTAGATTTGGTCTTTAGCTTGTACTCTCCTTAATTAGTTGTATTGTTAGAGATGAGGTGTTCAAAATTCATAGTTAAAATCATATTATTTTACAACTTTCTGATATCACATATGCCTCTGAGCCTCTGATTGTTTTGTACTTCGAACACCTCATCCTCTATCTTTCTCTTCTCTTTTATTTTCCTTTCTCATCTCTAGGGCTCCTATGGAAAGATTACAATCCTATCATTTAGTTTGAAGTCATGCTCAAAGCCTAGAATTGAATAAAAAGGTAGGTCATAGACCTACCTACTCCTTCATTCTTTTTTTTTTTTTTTTTTTTTTTTTTTTTTTTTTTTGGTGTGTGCGCGCACACATGTGTACAAAGGAAAGATGGAAGTTTGGTGTCTTCCAATGTTTCTTCACCTTTTTTTGAGACAGGACCTCATATCCTCACTCTTGTGCAGCAAGCATTTTACCCACTAAGCTATTTCTCCATTCCCCCTTTATATCTCTTGAGTTCTTCTGATACCATCAAAAAAACATATTTTTTGTTGTTGGATCTTAATTCCCAGGAAATTCCTTTGACCCCGTCCTCATTCAACTAGAAGTATTATATAAATGTCAAAGGTCGGGGATAAGGGTGTAGCTCAATTGGTAGAGTGCTTGCCTAGCATGTCCTGGGTTCAGCCTCCAACCATGCATAAACCACACATGATTAAAAAAAAAAAAAAGTGGGGCTGGAGAGATGGTTCAGCAGTTAAGAGCACTGGATGCTCTTGTAGATGACCTGGGTTCAATTTCTAGCACCCACATGACAGCTGACAACCATCTGCAACTCCAGTTCCAGGGGAATCTGACGCCCTCTTCTGACCTCCATGGGCATTACATGACACGGGTGCACTTATATACATGCAGGCAATACACTCATACATATAAAATAAAAATAATATTTTTTAAAAACAAACAAATGCTGGAGCTTCAGCAAGACCCTATCTCAAAAAGACAAAACAAAACAAAAATGTCAAAATTCAATCTTATGATTTTTAACTGAGCATTTTACCACATAAGTAATAGTTTATTTCAAGGTATTTTGAAAATAACAGTAATTTTGAAAACACCTCTGAAACATAAGCACTTGAAGCCCTTTAAAAAGAACTAGTGACAGGTGGGCATGGTGGTGCACGCCTTTAATCCCAGCACTCAGGAGACAGAAGCAGGTGGATCTTTATGAGTTCAAGGCCAGCCTGGTCTACATATTGAGTTCCAGGTCAGCTGGACCTACAGGTAGACCCTGTTTCAAAAAGACCAAAAGAAAAAAAAAAGACTAG